TGGTACTTGTTGGTCCCTGCCTGGCGCTCGGCATTAATGGGTACAACAAGGACTGGTCGGCTCGGAGTCAGTATAATGTGTCTGAGTGGGGTCTTCATGCTTCACTGCGGCATGGTATCTCAGTGGGCTAGCACTATAAAACCAGCTTAAGTCTGGGCTAGTACAAGCAGCCGCACATACACATACACACGCATGCACGTCGTCATATGAGCGAAATATTCTCAAGTACGATGTAAAACTCAATTTCACCTCACCTCACCCATGCTGCCAAATGACAAGTTAGCAAAGACACCAGATGTCAGTCCCAAGATCTAGCCTTCATTAATTACAGTTGATAACGAGCATGGCCATCTCTGGAAGGCACAGGTGTTTGTCTGTTGTGACTGCTGCGGTGTAATGGAGGACCGCATGTTCGACGAGGCTTGACGCCATGTCATCCATGTGATGCTACGGAATCAGTGACTTTGAAAACTCTTGGAAAACTTGAAGATGTGGAAGTATCAATGGTTTATGAGTTTGCCACTGATGATGTAGAGAGCAGTTCCATAAAGACCGGAATTAAAATCCAACTCTCACCATAATACTACTGCCACCAAACTGTCCCCGTGTATTGACATCTGCATAACGTCCACCGAGACCTCTGTACACTAGGACACGACTACTATTGCGCTGCTGTGTAAATGATGACTCGACCACTATCGACTTGTCCACTTGCCCAGCCGAAGACCTTGCAGCTCTCTAGTGTGGAACCATCATCGACCTTACTGCTCAACGTCTGGGATGTCTTTCACAGGGGCGGTTCCTAATGGTTGCCAATGCTTGTTCCACTTTCAGCTCTCCGCATTATTTGGAAACATTTTTCAACCTCATGTCGGCGACATCAAGATACCAGTATGGCCTTCTTTTTTTGATCCAGCGATTCCTGGCTCCGTCAAGCACTGCCTGGGTTTCACAGGTGGTCCCACATAGTGTAGTTACTGTCATCACAATTTTTTTATTAGCCACCCGACAGTTCCAGCTTCTTGTCTTGAAGTTCAGATGGCATGATTTAAAGCCAGTGTTTTTCAAGAGTATAACAAGAAGCTGATTGTTGCACGAGCAATGTTGATGTGATTATTTTGGCTACCTGTTAAGCCGCTGTGCATGACGATGATCGCCATCTGTATTCCACGGACACAACTCAGATACAACCATTCTTGCATGAACCCCAAGCCTCAACTTTGAGCACTCTGAGCACTACCGACTCATTATGGTGGCGTCCTAAAGGTAAACCTGTATCCGCTGCTTAAGATTTTGAATGCCACATTAATCCGCTGCTATTACCCTTTGCACCGTTGGCGTCATGTTCAATCCTAGCGTAGCCTCGTGTTTAAAGCGTTTATTCACCACGCAATTCCCCTCGCAGGTTCGTTCCCTTCGCAGGTACAGTGTATGAAGCCCAGTGTATCATAGCATAGAACGTTAGTGCAAAAGAATATAGTCTTGACTATCAAAAAAAAAATCCGTTTGGAGTAAAAGGGAAAATGGCTGTGAAAATTACGCTTGTATTCCTGGGCGCCTTGATGAAGAACAGTGCGTTGATGGCACCAGACATGCCGTCCTGGTCATCAACATCGTCATCGTGTACGACCTAGGCCATGTTATACTTTTACTCCACTTTTTTATTAAACTGACAATCCTGAATATAGATGAAACACTGTTCAAAGCCGCGTCACAACTCACTCACGCCTGATCACCACCAGAGAACTCATCAATGTAAACATTGACACTTTAAATCATGATAATATCAAGCATGAATTACGACAGGCATATTTTGCAAAAAATGATCTAATCTAAACGTTAACCCGTTTTAAATACATCATTCAAAAGTTAAAAATGAAAATGCATTTAGATTTAATGATATTGCAACTCCAGAAAAAGAACGGTTGGATAACAATAAAGGGATTCATAAGACCTTGTTTACGTGAAGCAGTTCAGTGTCTGTGACGCAATCTTGGAATGTCTGCGATGATTGTATTCTGGCTACATATCTTATCATCATGGAGTTTTATGAGACATTAAATGTTATATCATTTTGAATGAATAGATGGGAACTCACAGGGAAGACATTAAACCCATAACAGCCGTTGGCGACGACAAGAAGGCTGTATTGCATGGTGTAACTAGGCATAGTAATGAGACCGCAGAAGGGGTTTCTTCATATCGGAGAAATAATCTCTGTCCTGTGAGAAGCAATCTCATGTTAGTGGCAGGTTTATATACAGAGTTGCGTACCCCTGCCATGACCGGATCTGAAGTGTCTGCGCCGGAATCCTACATTTCGCTCGGCGAGAAAAAACCTGCATGTTATGTTATGAATGGTGACAGATGGATTTATAAAAGTTGTCTTGTTTTTCAACCTTTATATTAGACTCAGTTGGACCATCATCCCGACTTTCATAAAAGAATGTTACCAATAACATTTTCAATCCGACTTTAAGGTAGACTCCCATTTCGGACACTCATAGAGACTCGCCATCAGACTCTAAATAGGATTCTCGTTTTGATTTTGATTCTCACTCTCTTTTATACTTTCAGTCTGACTCTCAATCGCACCCTCAGGATATAGGGCGTTAGGAATGGTTAAGGAGAGAATCCATGGCATCTTTATGACCATACCAAATTTATCACCGCACATACTGCGTAAGATCTGTATGCGTTGTAGTTCAGTTGTACAGTGTTATGTTAAAGGAAGAACAATGTATATCATCCATTATTCAAATGTCGCCATCTGTAAAAGCGAGATTTGAATAATGGATGCCCTGATGCTGGCAAATTAATGAAAGAGACCAACCGGTGTCCGAAGTGGCCTTGACCTTGCCGCCAGGTGTCGTTTGTGCCAATCTCGCGGGATTATGATTTCGTATGTGTCAATCGAGATTTAACCCAAACGGACAAGCAGTTCTCTAACAACGACGCGACTCAGCGCTGCACGGGGAAGTCTTGTCGTAGAGAGAGCTGAATAAATCGCCAACGAATGGGACGCTCACTGACATCTCAATAGGAAGAGGTGTCAGACAAACAATGCTTATTTAGTCTGTGTTTCTTACCTAGCTAAATTACCCTTAGCAGCAAACTGGTAACAGCGTGACACAAGGTGACCTTTGACCTCGTACGTGACGGTGACAAATAAATCGGGGTTTCCCGGCAATTTACCGGCTTTGGAGACATTACAGCAGAGTCCAATCATTGGGACGTCGTCTTTGGAGGCTATGTGCGATATTGAGGATGTTCGCCGACCAAGCAAAGCACATGCATACTGATAAAGCATAAGAAGGAACAGACCTCGGATACTGTCTTCTGAGGAGGAGGACATATTGGAAAGCGTCTGAAGAGTTGACATAGGTATGACGAGGATATGGGTAGTGTGATCGCACAGAGGTGAAAATGAACGTATTCCTGGACTCGAGAAGCCCAATAATAACGGTCCGATAGGTTTCCTTTGTACTGTCCTATTAACGGGACACTTCTCTTTGGTGTTTGTGAATATTCGCGTGTTTGAATGAAGTAATTATTATAAGAAGATTTGTGATGCGGCTGTCTTGAAATTGACAAAGAAAGAGAAAGGGCATTCGTCCCAGGGTTAATGACCTAAAATGTCTTGAGCAAGTACCAAATCACGGCGACTAAACATATAGACTGCCGTACAAAGAAATTATTCACTTGAAATTGATGTGACAAAGAACTGCAAAAGTTCTCAAGAGGTGCTTCGAATTAGATCCTCTGAGCCAATCATACAGTCCTCATCTCATCCATTTAAGAACACACACGCACGCACGCGCGCACACACACACACACACACACACTCTCTCTCTCTCTCTCTCTTCACACACACACACACTCACACTCTCTCTCCACACACACACACACACACACACACACACACACACACACACACATGTTGCTTTAGCCAAACATCAGTCGCATCAGTACATTCAGAAACGACTACAAGAATCATGTGACTCAGTCGTCTAGGGAGTTATAAGTCGATGTATGGAGATAGATGTTCTTCGTATATGTTCTTCGAATCATATGTTATTGGGTTCGAATCAAAGATCTGCTCAAATTATGATTGTTGGTTTGTAAGGTCTATACTCGTGGTTGTCGCCAGAGTTGCCAAGTGTGAAAGTCTAGGACTCACATCATTTAAGGCTTCCTCCCACAGTTAGGTGATACGCCATGTTAAACCTGACCTCGTGTTCAAATCGACCTGAGACTGACTCACGCATACACTGTCAGAAGTCATTCAGCGTGAGACATGCCACATCTTCCAGGACCTATACTGGACCGCATACCTGTGGATGGTGACAGTCATCCGCTTCATGAGAAATGCCTTGCCACATCCTTTGTCACGTACTTGGCCTGTGTAACGCTGACAGCAATCGTGACAGATGTAGCATTACCCAATCCAGAAATCTATTCTCAAGACCGTTTCCATCTGGATACCAATAAACACAAGCTGTCAGGGGAACAGTGTATACATTTCGAGCAGATTAGTGTAGCTTACACCTATAAATTAACCCCTGACAGGATGAGTTATTTTAAACTTCGCCTTGAGACTGCGATCGGCCACCTGATAAACACAAGGAGGGTTAACGTGATGTGAGTTACAGTATCGGCTGGACCTCAATGGTTCGTAATCCGCCACCTGATAAACACAAGGAGGGTTAACGTGATGTGAGTTACAGTATCGGCTGGACCTCAATGGTTCGTAATCCGCCACCTGATAAACACAAGGAGGGTTAACGTGATGTGAGTTACAGTATCGGCTGGACCTCAATGGTTCGTAATCCGCCACCTGATAAACACAAGGAGGGTTAACGTGATGTGAGTTACAGTATCGGCTGGACCTCAATGGTTCGTAATCCGCCACCTGATAAACACAGGAAGGTTAACGTGATGTTAATCGGCGTTCGTAATCCGCCACCTGATAAACACAAGGAGGGTTAACGTGATGTGAGTTACAGTATCGGCTGGACCTCAATGGTTCGTAATCCGCCACCTGATAAACACAAGGAGGGTTAACGTGATGTGAGTTACAGTATCGGCTGGACGTCAATGGTGTGATACTGTATAGACACCACTCTCGGGAAACACAGCATCCCAGTCATACTACATCGGGGCGGTGGGGTAGCCTATTGGTTAAAGCGTTCGTTCGTCACGCCGAAGACCCGGGTTCGATTCCCCGCATGAGTACAATGTATGAAGCCCATTTCTGGTGTTCCCCACCGTGATATTGCTGGAATATTGCTAAAAGCGGCGTAAAACCATACTCACTCACTCATACTACATCGCAGCCCAGTTGCAAGAGTGAGCGTCCGGGTAGGTGTGGCGGAGACGGGGGTGGGGGTGGTTGACTCTGGGTGTTAAGGGTTGTGGAGATATTGCGTCAGCTTCCCTGTGACCCACAACCGTAGATGACTAATTCAGAAATCATATCATATCTTAATGGTTGTTTAAAATTTGAAAAAGTCGCGGCAAATATTCCCTTTCTTTCATGTTGCCATCCGGTTGACAGTTATTGCGCAAGCTCAAGCAATGACGGAAATCAGGGTCCGGTTAAGTCGCTTATCCTCTCAGGAAACGCTTGTCCATTCATCAAACAGACTCCAGTATCTTCACTCAGAGTCGGAACAGACTCACGATACATGATGAATGTAGCACGGTGTTGAAGGTTGTATTGTAGTTTAAAGGATTGGAGCCAGGGCCATTAACAAGAAAACAAATGGACAATTAATCTAGAGCGTGTTATTCAATATGTTTCATACGTTATTTGGTACAGTGTTAAAAAAGGCAGCTATGATTGCTACCAATAGTAGTGCACTCGTCAGAAAGAATGGCTAACCGTCCACTCCCCCGGTTTGTGTTGATCACGGCCGTATAAAACCCGTCTCCCCCACAACCACCAATCTCCCCCTAACCGCGTCCCCAACTCTCCCCCTTCTTTCCCCGAACACCTGCTGTTCACGTAATACTACCTGTATGTTTACGTTTTGCTGCTACAGGTAGTTTACCTGGCCAGGTGTTTTAACACACACACGTGGCTCGCGTTTCCCGCCCGTGCTCGATCTTTTAACAGCTAACACAATACACTTTATCCATTAACACGTACACCGTGGGGGAATGATTTTACCCAACCTTTGCCGGGATATTGGATTTTCATGATCAGCGTACTTGATTTATTTTATGAGACCGGAAGTGACTTTATTTTGTTATTGAGGCGCATCTCAAGGTTGCGAAGGTGTTAAAGGGACAATTCAGCTACATTATGAAAAATAATGCTCATAGTGTCGATTTATATTTTATTTTTCTTCAGAGCTTTATATTATATAATGCAACCAAACAAAATCGCTTTTAACCATATTTTGATGAAGTGTAAAGCGATTAAACAGTGTATGAAGTTACGAACTTCAGTAAAACATTTGAAATAGTTGATGTTTCGACTTCTGATGTTTTCGGGGACGATGGGGTAGCCTAGAGGTTAAAGCCTTCCCTCGTCATGCTGAAGGTCCTAGTTTGATTCCCCATACGGGTACTTGCTGAAATATCTCTTAAGGCGTTGAAAGAATGCACTCAATTGAAAGTTTCGCAATGTGTTTTAAAAGCAGAGGGCCGGTGTTTGCAACATATTGACATTATCTCAAGCAGACATATGTTTTAACGCCATGTAGACAGCATTGTTCGCTGTATAGATGACTTAATAATAGACTAAGTTTATTATGAATACGATAGATACTGATTTGAAGAAAACGGAGTAAAGCATAATAAAGTAAAGTATAATATCCAAATTACGCATTACATGCATTAAATTCCATATATCTAGCTCTCCTAAAAATAATAGGACACTCAAGCTTTCAGGAATAATCCATTAAGGGACTGGGTCAGTGGAAATTAAAACAAAAGAAAGTAGGGAAATAATTTAGATGAAAGTGCAATAGTTTGTGAAGCAATTGAAATTGTAAACGACAAACAACTAATGTCGGTTTGCAATGACACTTTTTGAGAGTACCAGCTAAATGACAGCGTGCAATCACTTGGTACGAGAGTACCAGCTAAATGGCAGCATACAATTACAAGGTTCGAGAGTGCCAGCTAAATGGCAGCGTGCAATCACCTGGTTCGAGAGTACCAGCTAAATGGCAGCATACAATTACAAGGTTCGAGGGTGCCAGCTAAATGGCAGCGTGCAATCACAAGGTTCGAGAGTACCAGCGAAATGGCAACGTGCAATCACATGGTTCGAGAGTACCAGCTAAATGGCAGCATACAATTACAAGGTTCGAGAGTGCCAGCTAAATGGCAGCGTGCAATCACCTGGTTCGAGAGTACCAGCTAAATGGCAGCATACAATTACAAGGTTCGAGGGTGCCAGCTAAATGGCAGCGTGCAATCACAAGGTTCGAGAGTACCAGCGAAATGGCAACGTGCAATCACAAGGGTCGAGAGTATCAACTAAATGTCTGCGTACAATCACATGGTTCGAGAGTACCAGTTAAATGGCTGTGTACAATCACATGGTTCGAGAGTACCAGCTAAATGACTGCTACAATCACAAGGTTCGACAGTACCAGCTAAATGCCTGCGTACAATCACATGGTACGAGAGTACCAGTTAAATGCAGCGTGTAATGCAGAAATGGTCTCTTCATTTTGCAACGATTATAAAGGTAGTGTCGCCTGTATTATTATAACTGCTGGCCATTGGTGACATGCTGTGGCATGGAAGTCATAACATGTAAATCAGGTTAATTGTGTTCTGGTGTCTGTAAAGCATTGTGTAACGTACGACTGACATTCCTTTCACCCCGGATAACCCATACAGTTTGATTTACTTTGACAGCTAAACATAAATCGTCACTTACAACAACAGGCACGTTGTCGTTTCAGCGCCTACAAGAATGCGATAAGTGAAATATGTGTTTTTCACGCCGCTGACCTGCACATCTAGATTTCCGGTGCGTTCCGATTGCGGGCCGTCTCCTTGTTCCCTAGTCTATATAGATCTGCTAATGTCCTGAATATTTAACACGTGGTGTTTGGGATATAAAGATACAACTATACCCTAATGTCCTCTTAGAATTAGAGTGTATTGAACTGCAGCTGTTTGAAAACGCTTAGTTGTGAAATGGCATACCTGTTGAACCTCGCAGTGTGTACTTTTCCGGTAACAGTGAGTAACTGGCTTGGTAGTAATGTAGTAAAATACTATTAATATCATCTCGTCAACTACTAATGTAGGAGTTCTTGTAGATCCACGTGTACGCGTAAGTGTGTGAGAGAGAGAGCGTAAGAGCGTGGATATGAACTGCAACACATCCTTTTTCAAAAACACAGGACAATTCCCTAAAGAACAAGTATTTCTCTTTTCGAAAGAACTATCATTAACATAACAGGTGTTCAATTTCATTTTTGAAATTTTTATACATGTATATACAGACATACAAAGAAATTACTCCATTCGAAGTGGTAAACTAACAACTATATGCGACAAAATACTCCCCGGCGTAGTCATTGAGCCGTGAAGGAGTGGGAGGGTGATGATCACAGTAAAGCTGTATTCCTGTTGAGGTGCAGCTCTCGTAATGGTTCACAACGGGGTAGACCCAATAGCAAGCGTATATCGACCACCATCAGCATTGTGTCACCTTAGTCCAGCTGTTTTAGCTCAGAATGATGCCCATCCACCGTGTTTCAACTTTGACGCGTTGCACCATATAAAATGTTTTCGTTAATATTTTATAGACAAAGACAATTGCTTCTAATAATGCTTGATGCAAACCTTGTTGATCTGAGTGATTCCCTTACATGACGATATACTGGGAGTGGGTTGGTTATATTCCAGCAATATGACAGCGGGGACACCAGAAATGGGCTTCATACATTGTTTCCATCAGGGGAATCGAACCCGGGTCTTCGGCTTCACTGGGCTACCCCACCGTCGCTGACGATATACTGGCCCTGTCGTCTGGCAGTGTATGCCTGTTTACCACAAGGGACGTCACAACCGTCGCTGACGATATACTGGCCCTGTCGTCTGGCAGTGTATGCCTGTTTACCACAAGGGACGTCACAACCGTCGCTGACGATATACTGGCCCTGACGTCTGGCAGTGTATGCCTGTTTACCACAAGGGACGTCACAACCGTCGCTGACGATATACTGGCCCTGTCGTCTAGCAGTGTATGCCTGTTTACCACAAGGGACGTCACAACCGTCGCTGACGATATACTGGCCCTGTCGTCTGGCAGTGTATGCCTGTTTACCACAAGGGACGTCACAACCGTCGCTGACGATATACTGGCCCTGTCTTCTAGCAGTGTATGCCTGTTTACCACAAGGAACGTCACAACCGTCGCTGACGATATACTGGCCCTGTCGTCTAGGAGTGCATGCCTGTTTACCAAAAGGGACGTCACAACCGTCGCTGACGATATACTGGCCCTGTCGTCTTGCAGTGTATGCTTGTTTACCACAAGGGACCTTCACAGCAAACCTGAACTTTTTCCAATGCGACAGTATTAATATTCTAACATATCATTGAAAAAGTAACAGATTATGAAACATGCAACCACCCAGCAGGCCTCAACAGGTGATCATGTTATATAACGTCCTGCTGGGGTAGCCTAGCGGATATAACGTTCGCTCGTGACGTCTAAGGTACGGGTTCAGTTCTCTAAATGGGAACAGTATGTGAAGTCCATTTCTGCGTTCCCTGCCGAGATGTTGTTGGAATATTGCTAACAGCGGCATATAACCGTAATCACTCACTGTAGATTCCCCGAAATACAAGGCCTTAAGCCACGTTACAATCCATTAAATACAGGTCTATTTAGTGCCCACGTCTATATACCTACACAATAATAACAATAATTACTTGTAAGTCTCCAGTGACATCTGTGAGAAAATGTGACATTTAACCGCGCAAACACTAAATTGCAAGCAGGTACTTGATCCTCTTTTGCTGGACAACCGCACACCCAAGATAGTTCCATCACCAGGCACT